GATGAAAAATTGCTTCTGGATATACCGAGTGATTGCTGCCAGAGGACTGGGCTCAGGAAGCAGTGTGGCAGAGACTTTGGTGCCAGAATGTAGTCAAAAAAATCTGATTCAAATTTCAACTCTGCCACTTAAGAACCATGTGACTTTGAACGTGTTCATTTATCCCTTGGAGCCTTGGTTTCTTCTATAAAGTTGACCTAAAAAATTATCTACTTAAATGGTTGTTAACAGAATTTTTTGAGGTGGTACATATCAATGAATGTAGTACCCTAGCCCAGAGTAAGGACTTAATAGTCGGTAGCTGTTAGGATCAGAGAGAATGCACAGATCAGCCAGCCCAGCCTGACCTGCCCTTTTAACCCATCAACCCTCCCCTCTGGGCAGCCAGCCTCAGCATCCTAACCTAGATCCAGTCTTCATCTGGAAAGAAAATGCCCCGGTCCACCTTGCGCTCCCTCGGCCCCTGGTCTGGCTTCCTAACTGCTGTTCTTTACATTCCCCTCTTGAACTAGAACCAGCATGGCCATTCTGATGCCTGCCGTCACCTGTACACAGCCCCTTGGGCTGCCTCTGCCCTTGGCTGCTCAGCCCTTGCTGCTTCCCCTTCCCCCATTACCTGGTTTGGGTAATAATAAAAAGAACAGCAGTGGGACCAGCAGATGGAATCATGGTTACATTGCTGGACTCCCATGCAGTCGACCACAGTTTAAGTCCCGGACCCAGTGGCTTAAAACTCACACAAGACACATGTGTGCATGCGTTCAAATTCCTGAGAGGAGAATGAAGGAGAAGGGATTGAGGCATGGCTATCCCCCCTGGGGAGTGATTTCTAGCTTTCTGTCTCTGTCTCTCTCTGTCTCTCTGGCCAGTGCACATACCCTATAGAACAATCTCTCTTTTAAAAAGTGGCAATATGTGGAATTTATTAAGCCCTTATTATGTGCCAAAAGCTTGCAAAGCAAATTGAATTCAATCTTCACAACAACTTTATGAAATAGATGCTGTTATGATCCCCATTTACAAATGAAGAAGTAGGCAGCAAAAGATTTCTTTGCCCGAAATCAATTTGTAAAGACACACTGTTATTTCAAGTACTGCTGAAAGACACTGGCAATTAAACTATGTTACAATGCTAAGATGAATCCAGATTTAAGAGATGTTCAAAATATGGGTGTAGGGGCTAAGAAAAATATACTATAGAATAATGAAATGCAAATTTTTTGTTGGAGCCAGGAATTGACCTCCGAGAGCCTGTCTGAAGGGCCCTGTACTACACTGGCCTCAAAATCCTATTTATTGAGTACTCCATGAAACAGATATTGTGCTAAGTTTTTTTAAAAACATATATATATATATCATTTTTAAATTTCGTTTTCTTTTATACATTCCATCATGTTATTTAGCTTACAAAGTTAATATTTCAACATGTGAACATTTCTCCCTAGTCTAGTTGATAAAACTATAAAATTATCTTCAACAGATAATACCATATTTCTTTGTCCCATTAATGCTTTTCCTCTCTATTTTTCTTCTAAATGTCCTTCCTCAGACTCTCTTCTTTCACACACTATATCTGGTATTCACATCCATTTACTGCGTTTCTATATTCTTTAGTCAATCAGTTTCAGTCATAGAGTACAGACACTTGGTATATATATTAAGTGGGGACATACAGTGTCTCTCCTTCATAGCCTGGCTAGCTTTACTCAGTAGTAAATCGTCCTTATTCTTCCATTTTCTGTCAAAAGCCAGGGGTTGTTTTTGTTTTTGTTTTTATGGCTGAATAGTATTCCATAGAGTATATGTGCCACAGTTTTTCAATCCATTCGTATCCATTACCTCCTTTAGCCCTCATTAACTGTCCTGCGAGGTAGGTACTGTTTTCTGCTTTGTCCTACAGGTGAGGAAACTAAGGCTCAGAAAAGTTGTATAGTTTGTCCAAAGGTAACTTTGTAAGTCAAAAAACAGATTCAAAACCAAGCCTCTTGGATTCTAGAGTCTTTGCGCTTAAACATTATGTAAGACCGATACTTCCTCTGTGCCTAGATGATTATTCCCACAGCTCCCTCCATGGGTCTCCTCAGTCTGGTCCAAGGATTGAGCCATAGCGGATTATTTCCAACCCGGCTTCATTTGTGCTGTGGGTGGGGGGAGGTGGGTATAGTCCTGGACTGGAGGGCAAAGCACTGGCTTCTTGTGTTGGCATTTCTTATACTAGACCTCACTTACTCCATTGGTAACACAGGGAAAATAAGCCTACTCCTGGTACTTGCCAAAATTACTTTTTTTTTGGTTTGTTTCTTTTTTTGTTGTTGTTGTTGTTGTTGTTTTGTTTTTGCCATAGGGCACTCTGCAATTCCTTCTCCTCCATTATCTTCTTGGGATTTTGGGCATGCCTGAACACATATCTGGAGTGATTTTCAAGCCTTTGGGTCTGGGATTTGAACCACGGTTGGCCATGTGAGAGTCTAGTGTGCCTTAAACACCATGCCACCTGCTGGCCCCCCAAATTACTCTTTCTTGAGATCATATATAAAAGAAATCTATCAAAAAGGATTAGCACATTATCAGACTGTTTATGGATCTACACCTCAATCAAAGTTCCCAAAACCTCCCACCAAACTAGAAAAATCTCCCAAAGGGCCCCGCCGCCCTGCCTTTGTGCGTGCCCTCCCCTGTATAGGAAAGAGCTTCTCATCTTACCAACATAATCCTACCTGTCCATTGTAGGCTTTCTTCTAGGAGATGTCCTGAACAGCTGTCATCGAAGCGATCCATTTCTTCTACCTAATCTTTGTGAGCACTTAGTTCACACAGCACTCAGAGCCTTGCCATGTAACCCGTGAAACTATTGGTTATAGACCATCTCCTCTGTGGAGGACATGTGTTTGTTTTTGCCCCCAATATCATCTTTCCTTTTTGGTAACAGCAATTTGATTCTCCTCTAGTGAACCACCTTCCCTCATTTTAGTCCATAGGGTTTGGTCGGCGTTGATCCCATCCCCAAATCCAGAGGTAGGGCTGAGACCAACTTTCTAATGAATCACTGTGATTGGTTCAGTCAGTGAAGGGCCAATGATTCACTTAAAATCATTGAGAATTACTCCTGGGACTTTTGCTGGAACTGTTGGAATACAAAGCTCTATTTTTGCTGTGACTGAATGTAAACATGGAGCTACAGTAGGATTTTACATGAAAAAAGAATTCCTGAGGAGGAAGTCACCAAGTAAAAGTTACAGAAAGAAACCTTGAGGATAACATTGCTGGAGGCCCTTGAATCTTACATTCAGGTTGCAAGTATTTGCCTAGGACAAATTCTGCTTCCTCTCACTTGTTTTTTTTTCCTCTTAAGTTAGTTTGACTTGGGTTTCTGTAATGTATAACTAAGAGACACAAAAACATTTTCAATTTGTTCATGAACTTTAAGAGGACAAAGTTCTGTTTTTTGGACTCTATGTAACTTGGGGCATACCACAAGGAATTATCTCATCATACCTAGTAAGACAGAGAGTCCTCAGGAGAGCATGAAAATTGAAGGATGGATGTTCACTTCATTCAGTCCCGCTTCTCCTGAGCACTTACAGTGAGCTACATTAAGCATTGAGACCACATGAATGATTATACATAATCCTTGTACTTGAAGTTCTGAGTTCAGTATAAAAGGAGGATATGCACATTATAATATAAGCTGAGCTATAATACAAATCTGAAAAAAAAAAAAAGGGATCCCAAAGGGTTGGCGGTTTGAGAAGATAGGATGTAGGAGTCTTCTCGGAGGAGGTGGCATCTGAGTCAAGTTCTTAAAGAACAAATTGAAGTTTGTAAGCAGAGAAGTGGGAATGGAGAGAAGGTATCCCAGGGACAGGGGATTCCAGGCAGAGAAACAAGATTATATGGAATTATAAAATCAATAAGAAAGGGCCAGCAGGTGGCATGGTGGTTAAAGTGCTGGACTCCCACATGGCCAGCTGAGGTTCAAGCCCCAGACCCGAGGGCTCGCTTTCTCACTTTTCCTCTCTCTCTCTCTCTCTGGTGAGCACATGTTCCCTATAGCAAATTAAGAAATAATAATAAGTCAAATTAAATAAGGAATTCTTTATAAAAAATTAATAAGAGAATCATCATCTCTTCTTCCTCTGGCTTTCTGTATTCCTTTACATCATAGAACCATCATAGTAGTTAAGAACACATGCTCTGAATGCTGGAAGAATTTGTTTCTGCCACCTACTATCCATATGACGATGAGCGAAATTACTTTTACATCTTACAAATAGAGACAACAGTTCTATTTGCCTCATAAGATTACTGAAACATAAAACAAAACGACATACACAAAGACTGTGCCTGGCACAAGGTAATTTCAAAAAATGTTAGCCGCTATTATTTTTATTATAGTCAAGAACCTTTAAGCCCGAGGAACAGAAAACCTAACTCCTACTGGCATAAACAGTAAGGAGATTCTTCATTGCACATAATGGGGAGTCTTGAAGTAGAGCAGAGTTCAGGCATGGAATAATCAAGTCTCTAACTCCACTTCTCCACCGTCCCCCCAGCCCTGCTGTCTTCTTTGTGTTGGCTCTGTCTGCAGCCTGGCTTCCCTCATTGTCTAGAGATGGCTGTGTCACCATATTCTAAACAACTGTGACAATATGCATCCTTGTTCATCCCATCACGACAGAGAAAAAAACCTCCTCCCCCAAACAGAAATATAAATCTCTTCTTTCAATCTGTTTAGGCCAGCTTAAGTTACGTGCCTGCTCTCAGACTGTTGACTGTGACGTTCCCAGTGTGGATCCACTGAAGCCTGGCTTCCTGAACCAGTCATGAGTAAGTGAAGTTGGGTTGCCACGATTAGCTTAGACTAGTGGGGATCTAACTGGAAACCACTCTGGGGTTAGAGATGGAGTCCAGCTTTTCTTCTGGTCACATGGCTACATCATGGCAAGAGAATGGGCTTCTGTTAG